TTATCTTCGTGTGAGAGAGACGGGAAGGATGAGCCGTGGATCTCATCGATCGCACCTTCCCTCTCGGATGTCACCAGTTGCCATGGAGGCTCGTGCTCTGAGGCGGCGCGCCGTGTAACCAGAACTTCAGTCACCACACAGGTCTGGTGGCGGTGACCGGTGCACTCTCCCACAGTGTTTGGCAATGGTAGAACTCACTCTGGTGGGCTGGAAGGATCCGGTGGTTCTAGACTTGCCAACAACTGACTGAGAGCTTTAACCCGTCCACCGACCCGGGACTCATCGCAGGAAGAGGATTGTTTTTTTTTGTGTTTGAAATGTGTGTCTTCCTTTTTGTTTAGCGGTGCTGGTGTGGGCGTCACTAAAGGTCATGGTTGGACGGTTTGGGAGGGTTCGGGCATGGATGCTGGCTGTGTGAGTGACTGCAGGCGGAGCAGAGAGGGGTTACATTCAACCATCCCCCCCTGAGCGTTCTTGCAGTCTCAGAACACCTTAAAAATCTGCAAGGACCGAGAACGTTTATCATCCTTCTGAGGAAAAACTCAAGAACATTCCACAGATCCAGTGAGTCTGCTGGTTAGGAAAACATCCCTACAGATTATAAATCCTCTTTGTCCTGCCTTTCTCCCCTCCTCAGATCTATGCAGACCCCTCAGGGTTGTCTCGGCCACAGCTAGCTGATCATGACATCAAACTCTGGTGTAATCTTAGACCTCAAACACCGAAGGAATGAACCAACAGAGACTTTGATTATCGGGCCGCAACGCATAAATCTATACACAGGCCATTAAGCACCGCGTTTTCTATCATCCGCCCTGATCAATAAATCAATGGTGCTCATGTGTTTGGCTGTGAAAAGGCCCGTAGCTGTAAATCCTCAGCGTTGGTGTTTGCAGCAGCAGCTCAGCTTATGGTGCAACCTGATCTTGCTCAGTCACGAAAAGGTTCTCGGCTGAAGTGCTGCAGAGCAGACGATCGTCGCAAATGATGTTAGCGCTGCGTGCAACCTTTAAAAAAAAAAAAAAAAAGGCATCATGATGAACTTGTTGTTGCAGCAGCATCAAACCCACGGAGTCGTATCTGCATCCGAGGACACCGAGGTGAAGTCTGCACGACTGTGTCTGGGATTTTATGGAGCGTTTTTTTTTTTTGGTGAAGTTGAGAATCTACAGCAGCACTCATGGAGATCATTTACAGACCGTTTAGGCCCAAACATATTAGATTAAAGATATTTTATGTGTTCACAAGGATCATATTCCTGTAGCAGTGAGGGAGGCTTTGAAACATTATGGAGATAATATATTTTAACAGTTAAACTAATATAGAAAATGAAGAAGAAGAGCATTTTTATCTGATGTTTGCCTCATTTTTTAGCTTCAGACTCTTAATATTACAACGAGGATGTAAAATGTAATCGATTGTTGTTATTTATACCCAAAATATGTATAAAATGGTCACGAAACAGACATGTAGTGTCTTGAAATGCAACATTTCCTTTATTAAAAGTGTTATTTAGCTCACCTGAAGCGGTTGGAGTATAATGCATATGTGATGTAAGTGTTGGTTTGGTGTATGAATAATGATTTATCTCATTTTGGGAAACTTCTGAGGGATTGTTAGGAGCATAAGGGGTAATTAGTTAGGGATAATTTAGAATGAGGTGGAAAAAAAGAGGAAAATCTTCATCCAACATGGCTGCAGGTCTCACAAAAGTAAAGTACACGCAAACAAAGACAAAACACACGACTGACACCGTTGTATCTGCGTGCATTTTCTGGAATAATGCAGTCAGAGCAATCAGCGGCTGATATATGTTCATCATGTTTCAGTAGGACACTGGGAGAGTCCATTATGGCCGACTGCAGAGGATGTGAGGTTAAGTGGTGCCAGCAGAGAGAGGAAGGAGGGAGGCCGACACGCTGACAGCTGGTACGAGTGATTAGACCGTGTAGTGATGCAGGGAAGGCATCAAAGCTCTTTAGGGAGAATCCCTAACTGGGAGGAGGCGAGGACACACACACACACACACACACACATACACACACACACACACACAACAAATCCTGATACACAACTTCCTGGTTGCACAAACTGAGCTTACAGGTCCAACAGCATATAGGCTGCACAGGCCATCTGTCTTCTTCAGATGTAACGTCAACCAATGGATTATCAGCAGCTCTGCCTGAGGACACACAACCCCTGTTTCTCCCTGTAACACACACACACACACACACACACACACCCTCTGACTATGACATACTGGTAACACAGGAGAATGAGTGGTGTCATTAGATTAGACTGGGTGTGGAAGTCAGTGGATCTCCTCATTAATCTCATTCTAATGGCTGTTTAATTGCCATTGTCTCTGCTGCTTCTTTACGCCGTACATCACCGCGTTTCTCGTCATTACATTAAAGGTGTTCCACTCTAATCTCAAGCGGAGGGCGAGCGTCACTTCATTCAGCATTCAGGAGATTACCACAGAGCACAGATGACAGGCGAAATGCGTCACAAAGGTAACGACAGGTCAAGGTTTGGAGCGAACGCCGAGGATTTGTTGGGTGACTGATCGGTTGATTGTCGCCGTGTGGTCAGGCAGGAGTCGGGGAATTAAGATTATCGAGGCGAATTAGTGTTTTTATTAGCAGGAATTGGAAAAAAAGGAGGAAGAGAGGCTGATTTCATTCAACGATTTGTACTTCAGTGTTTCTCTGCTGCAGCATTAGTGACTCACCTTTAGTCTGCTGCCCCAAAGAAACACAGTGTACAGTTCAACGAGGATAACACACACACACACACAAAAACACACACACATCCAGGGAGACTCTGGATTACAGTAATCCAGGAGCAGAGGGGGTATTTTTAGGACTTCATGACCAGAGGCAGACAATCGAAGAAAACAGATAATGACTGTCATATGACCGGTTAATTACGTCGCGTCTAGCGGGAACCCAAACTAATGCTGACGGCTAATTCTGCTAATTCTGCTAATTCTGCATGTACAACACAAGTAAGAACGCATCAGATGGTTATGTTTTGTCAACTGATGTGACAACAAAATTACACTGATTACCTCCAAGTCTACTTGAATTAATAGATAGATAGATAGCTAGATAGCTAGATAGATAGATAGATAGATAGATAGATAGATAGATAGATAGATAGATAGATAGATAGAACTTACAGTGAGCTCACATCAGTGCAAGATGGAGCAAATGAAATACAATAAAATCTTGTAATTGGACGCCCACAGTCCAAACTTGATGTACAAAGTCACTCAGAGGAAATAAAGTTCACAATGCAAAGTCAAAGAAGCCTCCATCTGAAAACTCTCTGCGGTCTGATTAGCAGGTCATGCAGAGGTCATGAGGTGTTGTCCATTACGTTTGTGCGACACCCTTCTCTCAACAGAAGCGCCAGAGCCGCTCAACTTCATCCATCCATTATCTATACACCGCTTAATCCTCACTAGGGTCGTGGGGGGCTGGAGTCTATCCCAGCTGACTCAGGATGAAGGCAGGGGACACCCTGGACAGGTCACCAGTCTATCACAGGGCTACACTTAGAGACAGACAACCAAGCACACTCACATTCACACCTACGGACAATTTAGAATCACCAATTAACCTCAACATGTTTTTGGACTGTGTGGGAGGAAGTCGGAGAACCCGGAGAGAACCCACGCTGCACGGGGAGAACATGCAAACTCCACGCAGAAAGATCCCGGGTGTCCTCACCAGGACGAGAACCGGCAACCTTCTGGCTGCGAGGCAACAGTGCTCAGAGCCAACTTTCATAACCAGTTTCCTCCTGGTACATTTTCTCAAACAAACGGTTCATTTCTGCAACCGTGTAAGTCAACACCATGAATGTATAAACCCTATTAAATATCATATCCTTTAACAAAGCTGTGGACAGATTATTACAGACTAAATAATTGTCCGGACAGTACAAAGCACCTCGTACTCTATCAGCTGAAGCAAAAAGTCGTGTTCCATTGACTTCTGTTCATTTTCTGGTGACTTACTGTAACAATAACACCCAAATAGTCTCTCAGAACCTTAAAATTGAAGGATTTATGTCATCAGGATTTGCTTTTAGTCCCCACGATGTGACTGGGTCAGCAGGTTTACAACATGAGTAGTACACACATACACATTGATTGAGAACACACTGGTGTCAGATACTCACAGCAGGACACAATCAATGAATCCTCTCATAGTGAGAAATAGAAGAAATTAGGACCTTTGCTTGTGTCACTTAGAGACAAAAGTGCTTTTACGCCCTCTGGTGGCTCAGTCCAGCTGTACCGAGTGTCTAGTGAGTAAATTTAAACACTGTTTATGGTTTGCTAGCTGTTCAGAGCACAAAAAAAAGAAATAATAATAATTTTGTTGTATTCAAATTATGAGAGCAAAATGCAGAAAGAGTAAAACCTATCTTTATTTATTATAATCATTTTTTTAATAGAGCATTTAGTAAATATAAATATTTGGCATTACTACTATTATTATGTTGCCTGCTTGTCTGATATCAAATAACAACAACAACAGATGATCAGCTCTCTGAGTGTTTTGTGCAAAATTCTGACAACCAAACAGGCAAAGTTAAGATTAATACGAATCTATTTAAATGTTAAAGGTCCCATTTGGTGCAAAACCCATTTTTATTGAGTTTTGTGGTTGTTGCCGATTACAAAAAAAGACAAAACAACAGCTCAAATGGTAATTGACACCTCTGGCTTTAAGTTAAAAAGTTAAAAGACACACTGTGGGGACACTTGGATTAATTTGCACAATATGGGACCTTTAAAATCAGGATTATAAGACATGAAGCATGAAGCTGTTTTAAATGTACAAACTCCTTTCTCAGATTCAGAAATCACTGTGATTACTCTCTGGATACTGTGAACATTTATAATCTGGAACAAATAAAGCAGACACGACTGAACATAAACAGGAAAAATCATGATACAAAAATAAAAGCCTGCAGTGACTCCACAGTACTCGGTGAGCTTCAGGCTGTAGAGGGCGTCAGCGCTCCGTCTGCAGGGCTTCGTGAAGAGCTTAATACCTGTTTAAAAAAGGGTTTCTGTTAGATACATGTTTGTGTGTGCGTCTTTGGTGCATGAGGTTAAGTTTGTGTCCACCTGTAGTAGTTGGGTTTGAAGGGCCCGTGCTTGCTGATGCCGAGGTACTTGGCCTGATCGTCAGTCAGCTCCGTGAGGTGAGCGTCAAACGTCGGCAGGTGAAGGCTGGCCACGTATTCATCTGAGGATTTCAACGCACAGGGTGTTTAGTGTTTTGATGAGGTGTATGAAACATGAAATAAAGCTTCAGGGTGTTTGAGATGAGGACTTGCCCATCTTCTTCGGCAGCAGGTAGACGTCCTGTTTGTATCGTCCCTCTGGAGCGTTGAACAGCTCGATGAGGGCCAAGGCCTGAAACACATCAGTTAACTTACTGCAACCAGCCTCTTGACTGCTGACCCCTCTGCTGTGGTCCATTTAAACAGAGAGTAATGCTCTGATGTGCAGCATTTTGCATACAAACTCCATTTCCATACCTGAGTCGTGGCCGTGATGGAGAGGACAAATGAGGGCACGGTGGAGCAGCTCAGATTCAGCAGGCGGCCCTGAGAGAACGAGTCAAAAGTGAAATGAATAAAAATGATTACAATAACGTGAGAGCAGCCGCTGAGCTCAGATTTCTGGAAAGTGCAGTACATCAAACAATTACGTCCGACGTAGCCGAGCGTTTGCCAGCTTCTCTCCTGATGTACACCTGATTGAATTAATCTTCAGATAAATCTGTTCCTGCTGCTCGACTCATCAGCACTAAGCTTCATCTCTCTTCGCTCTGCGTCAGCCGTGCATGAGTGCAACTGGAAGACTGCGCTGGAAAAGACTTCTGATGGGTTTGATTCCCACACTTGCGCAGGAGATTTATGGCGAAACCACAGTGACTCAGCGTGTGTGTGTTTAAAAGAGCGTCGGCATGTGTGATGACGGGCCTTTTTAAAGGATCCGCTGTGGGTTGAAGCTGCAGACTGTTTTAGCATGTGGTAGGATGAAGACCTTTCATGAGGCAGACTAAATAAATACATGCTTTTATTAAAGAAATCACATTTAGTTCAGAGACTTGAAAGGTTGTGCTGGTGTGGTGTTGAAGTGCAGGACAGGCTGTGCTCCGGTTTTGCCAGTGCATGTTCATTTCTGATTTGAAATTTTCCATCCATCCATTATCTATACACCGCTTAATCCTCACTGGGGTCACGGGGGGCTGGAGTCTATCCCAGCTGGCTCAGGGTGAAGACAGGGGACACCCTGGACAGGTCACCAGTCTATCACAGAGCTACACTTAGAGACAGACAACCAAGCACACTCATATTCACACCTATGGACAATTTAGAATCACCAATTAACCTCAGCATGTTTTTGGAACCTGGAGAGAACCCACGCTGCACGGGGAGAACATGCAAACTCCACACAGAAAGATCCCGATTGTCCTCATCAGGACGCAAACCGGCGACCTTCTTGCTGCGAGGCAACGGTGCTAATTCTTTCTAAGATCTTACGAATAATCCTTTCTCACAGCAGCACCCATTTTGACACGAAATAACAGGTAAACATCGGTGTCACTAAGATACAGCCTTCTTCAATGAGATTAGCACCGCATGTGTTTACCTGCTGCTTTATGTTCTAATGGCTGCTGGTTTAAAGGAGAGCGAACACTGAGTAACACAAACATTTTGACTGGTATGCATATCGACATGTACAAAGTGAGTCGCGTCAGCGTTTGAATCAGCGTCTCTCTAAACCTGCTGTATTTCACTGCTTCAGCCGTGTGGATCTAATAAACCGGCAACAGACTGCACATTAAACCGTCCAGACACTTTAACTTCAACATACTCAGTGAGGAAAGAAATGTAAATGTTTTCAGGCCTCAGTTGTAGGATTTTGCTGAAAGGCCATACTGTAAGCAGTTAAGCACCTTCACTTGAAATCATCTTAATCTCTGTTTCATTACAAGTGAGTCACGGTTTCTAAGTTCTATAAAAAACACAACATTGTGCAGTGATCCTGTTGCAGGCTGATCACTGTTTGCTCTGCGATGTTTTTCCTGCTCTGTCAAATGCGTTTTTTTGGTTCTGTGTCAAAAATAAACACTTGGTCTTTATAAGATAATGACTGGATCACTAACTAGTTCTTTTCATTCTTTATGAACAGTTTACACCCAAGACACCTTTTATCAAAGTCCATGATTCTCCAGGTGCTGTGAGGTGGCTCGGTGGTTAACACCGTTGCCTTGCTAGAAGATCTCCGGTTCGCGTCCCAGTGAGGACACCCGGGATCTTTCTGTGTGGAGTTTGCATGTTGCAGCGTGGGTTCTCTCCGGGTTCTCCGGCTTCCTCCCACAATCCACAAAAACATGTTGAGGTTAATTGGTGATTCTAAATTGTCCGTAGGTGTGAATGTGAGTGTGCTTGTTTGTCTGTCTCTAAGTGTAGCCCTGTGATAGACTGGTTACCTGTCCAGGTGTCCCCTGCCTTCACCCTGAGTCAGCTGGGATAGACTCCAGCCCCCCACGACCCTAGTGAGGATGAAGCGGTGTATAGATAATGGATGGATGGATGGATGTTTCTCTGGACTTCTTTGGTTCATTTTTTTTTTACCATAACCCTTCATGCTCTGTGTTTACCTTCATCAATTTCATCAATCTCACCATCACTGTATTTTAACCTTCATTTATTTTAAAAAAGTGCCCTGTTTTCTTGGTAAATAGGCAACTCAGCCTGCGTATAAATCTACTTAATCGACCAGTTTAAATCAAAGTCGAACTTTTCAAGCAAGTTTTTGTTAAATTCCCAACATGCCTCCTCATCTAAAGTCCATCTGCAATGACAGCAGTTCTGGTTATTGTCTCACTGCAGCAGGATCTAACCGTGTCTGGAGCATCTCCAGAAGAAACAACAACAAAAAAATCATTCCCTGCTTGTTCCTTCCTTATCAAAGCAGCCTGGGCTGGCCCAGATCACTTAATTCAATCATGGCCTGCCAGCCGTCTGAAGTCCACCAGCAATACATCAGCACTGGCTGTCAAGACCTCTGCGACGGTTTGTTGTCTCTGTATCCTCAGGAAGGATTTTGGGGTTTGCCGAGCACAGAGGAATGGTAGATCCATCGTGAAGCCTGATCCTGACCCACCATCTGCCAGATACAGCTCATGTGTGTGCATCTTCAGTAAACATTTATTTCAGGAGATGATGTGGACCACACCTCAAACACTCCTCTGTCCCTTCCTCTTGATCTCACCTCTCTGAGGGTCCCCTGACAGTGAACTGAGAATGAAAGCACAACTACAAACTCTACTCTGGTGAAAACACTGAGAGGAGCATCCTCACCTCAGCCAGCAGGACGATTCTCTTGCCATCGGGCCAGATGATGTGGTCCACCTGAGGCCTCACGTGCACCCACTTCAGCTCCACAGTCCGCAAACTCGCCTGAGAAATAGGAGTCAGTATGTTAAACACTCAAGCTTCCACATATTTAAAATATACTGTGACTATGAAAAATAAATTGTCCCCCCTTAATTGCTTTTCAGCATTGAGTCAGGGTCAGTTTTCTGTTGTTGTTTAAGTATTCGTCCCCTGTAGGTCAGTATTTTGTATTTTAACTACAGCATTGAGCCTGTGTGGACAGCTCTCAGGTAGCTTTGCACATCTGGATATTACGATTTTACCCCGTTCATTTTTGCAGATCTGCTGAAACTCCTTCAGGTTGCATGGGGTGAACTGTGAACAGCCCTTTTTAAGTCCAGCCACAAAATCTAAATTGGATTGAGGTCTGGACTGTGACTTGACCACAACATTCATCTCGCTGTCTTTAACCATTCCTGTGTAGCTTTGACTGCAGGCTTCATTGTCTTTCTGCGAGACAAATCTTCTCCAGTTCTCTTATAGACTGCATCAGGTTGTCCTCCAGGACTTAACTATACTTTGCTGCATTCATTTTACCCTCTACCTTCACAAGCCTGATGATGTGCAATGTGTGGAGTCTGCAAAACATAGCGTCTGGTCTGATGAGCAAAAGGCCTCATTTTTGTCTCATCAGACCATGTGGTGTCTTGGTGGCCTCCCTCACTTGTCTCTTTCTTGCACGGTCGCTCAGTTTTTGAGGACGTCCTGCTCTATGCAGATTTATGTATGCGCCTTATTCCCTCCATTTGTTAATAATGGATTAAACTGTCATTCAAGGGAAGTTTGGTGACTTGTATCCATCCCCTGAGTTGTGCTTTTCAACAACCTTCACACAGAGTTTCTTGGAGTGTTCTTTGGTCCTCATGGTGTAGTTGTGGGCGGCTGTGGCTCAGGTGGTACAGTGGTCCTCTAATCGCAAGGCTGGTGGTTCGATCCCTCCGGCCCTCGGAACGTCCTTGGGCAAGACACTGAAACCGAAGTTGCTCCCAATGGCAGGTAGTACCTTGCATGCCTGCTCTGTCGCCATTAGTGTATGAATGTGTGAATGAGAAACACATTGTAAAGCGCTTTGAGTGCCGCTAAGGTAGAAAAACGCTATAAAAGTTCGGCCATTTACCATTTAGTTATGACTAGGAGGACTGATTCACCAGTGACCTTCCAGATACAGGTGTCTTTACACACTCAGATTATCTTCTTTTCACTAACTGTGGTGACTTCCAGCACCAACTGGCTGCATCTGTGTTGAATCATGCAGGTGACTTAAAGGGGACGAATACATATGCTGCATATTTTACATTTTATATTTTAAATTAATTGACATTACTTTGTAAAAAATTAGTTTTCAGTTTGACATTAAAGTCGCTGTACACAAAGCCTGTGTCTTTACCAGATCTATCTCAGTGTTGGAGTGTCCCATGTTGCAGACTATGCAGCCATTCTTCATTTTGTCCAGATGCTCTCTCCCCACCACGTTTTTATTACCTGCAGGAAAACAGACATTAAATAAACAGATGAAAAAAAACATTTTCAATGTGAGTATTATTTTTCTGAAGACGACCCGTTACCTGTGCAGGTGACGACCATGTCCACCTGTCTGATGGTTTCGCTCAGTTTAATCACTCTGAAGCCGTCCATGCTGAGAGGAGGAGGAGAAGAGGGAGACACAAAGGGGTTAAAACAGAATTTCATGATGTTCTGTTGCCATGTGGCTTTTGGAGGAGAGAACACACTTCACATTTGTGCTGATAAAAGCTTCCTCTATTCATACCAGGCCTGAAGGGCGCAAATGGGATCCACTTCTGTGACATATACAATAGCACCCAGCGCTTTCAGGGCAGCGCAGCAACCTTTGCCGACCTACAAGGAGGAAGAAAAGAGGTTGTATAGTCGCTTAAATGTAAGAGTTATTTTATAAGAGACATATGCTGCACTTGTGTTCCACTGACCTCCCCGTATCCACAGACCACCACTTGTTTTCCACCAAACATGACGTCAGTGGTCCTCTTTAACCTGGAGGAAACATTCAGTACAGTCAGGTCGCTGCCGTATGAGTGATTGTACCTGTTTACAGCATGATTCATTACCCGTCCAGTATGGACTCCTTGCAGCAGTAAAGGTTGTCGAATTTCTGCTTCGTCACAGAGTCATTAACGTTCATGGCAGGAACACACAGTCTGCTCGCCTTCGACAGCTGGTACAGCCTGAAACAGGTGCAGACACGCGTGTGAGCTGCAGGATGACTTTGTACATTTGTCATTGAAGCTTCGTGTGGAACTAACCGATAGACGCCTGTAACGCTTTCCTCCACGATGCCTCTGAGCCTCTTGAACATGCTTGGATACTTTTTATAGATCCAGTGGGTCAAGTCGCCGCCATCATCCAAAATCTGAAGAGTGAAAACAACAAGCTAAAGCCAGTTGTTCTGTGTATGTTAAACACACTAAACTGGGAATGAGATCATTGTGAAGGTACAGTTTACTCAAACTCTAAATATATTTAAATAGACAGAAAATAAATAGTTTGATTTGCTGAGGTGTGGAGACGTTGGTGGCTTCAAGGCCCTAAAAAAGATGCTTAACGTTTGAGTTTTGGTGCCCAAACTACCACCAAATTAGATTTACAATATCTATTTTAAAATGTGGCAGATAATTAGTGTACAGCTACCACCTGTTTACCTACATTACAACTCCAACATCTCTTTAAATTAGTGATGCACAATATTAAAATTTCTGGCCGATACCGATATTAAGATGTCTGATATCGCCGATAACCAGTATTACCAATCTTGATATTCAGTTTTTGTTCACACCAAAAAATCAGTATAAGTAAGCACTGTGAGCACATGAAAACTCTTCAAAAGAAGCCCATAATACCAAATTAGACCACATAGTCTTCTGTATTACACAACAAAGGTAAAACTAATTTTAACATATTTGAGTCCAGGACCATTTAAGTAAAACATCTGTGAAATAGCAGCGATATCAAATGCAGAGACCAATGTTAGACAATCGTTTTTTTCACATGAGCTAAATTGGTTCATCGGACCGATACTGATATATCAGAAAAACACTAATATCAGCCGATACCGATGTGGTCGCTGATATATCGTGCATCCCTACTTTAAATTCTTTTTTTTAAATTAAAAAATTAGTCACACTCTTTAGCTGATACACCCACAGAGCAAACCACATAGAAACCAAATATTCATATTTCAGATATTTTTCAAATAATCACATTTTATAGAAATTTAAGTTAGAACTGAAGAAAAAATGCAAGTTTCACTGATGTCGTGGTCAGTTATTTGATCGTCTATTTGATCCTGTTTGATCATCTTACTTGTTTTACCTGTGCAATGCCTTCCCAATTAATTCTCTCTATATATACAAAGTGCTGTGGTGTCGTTTATCTTTTGTCAGTTCATCTTCCTCATTTCCTTTCTGTTACCTTTATGTTCTCTGGCCTGATTCTTCTCCTCACTTCTCTGGTTTGTGGCTTTGTTCTTTTGATTTCTGTTGATTTTTGGGTTTAGCTTTCTTGTTCTATCACCAAGTCTGTGACACTTAGGTTGCAAAGCCATAAAACACAACTTGAACTATCCTTCCCCCCCCCCTCCACATCCAGAGAAGCTCGGCGACACACAGGAGGGTTTGATTACCATGTTGGGCTGCCAGCTCCGAGCTCCGACACATTTGTCAATACACCACCAGAAGTCGTCCTCTGACTCTCCTCTCCACGCAAACACTGAGGTGCCTGAGAGAGAAGGAGGTGTGAAGAGTGTGTGAGGATCAACACGGGGTGTGAAGAACCTGAAGAGTTCTGTGGAGGATCTGGTTCAGAGCGTTACCTGCTTCAGCCAGAGCAGCAGCCACAGCGTTCTGAGTGGAGAAGATGTTACAGGCCGACCAGCGACACTGAGCCCCCAAAGCCACCAGAGTCTCAATCAACACCTGCAAGAAACGTACAGAAAAGGTTTTTATTTTAAAGAAGGTTTACATTTTACTGCAGATGTGTATGGTGCACTGTAGATAATACAGTGAAAAACATCATAAACAAATTAAGTCAATTAAACTAACTTTTCTAGTTTACTTAATTTAAATACGTGAGTTCTGCTAATTTCTCTTAATTTATCTTCATGAGTCCTTTAAAAAAATAAAAATAATTTGGACTAGTTTAGAGCAAGAACTGTGAGGGTCATAGACTGTTCACTGGGTTTCCGGGATTTTGTCTGTCTTGTGTTTTGGTGGGTGTGTCTCTGTTCACTGCAGGCTGGGCGGAGCCAATCAGAGACAGGCGCACGCTGGCAGCTGTGGCTCATCGGCTCATCAGCCCTGCTTCAATACTGGCGTCTCACAAAGAAGACCGACGCCAGAGGATTGTGATCCCTACCTCGGGGTACAGTCAGGCCACGAGCTGCTACACCGTGCGGAGCATTCTTGATGTTCTTTAGCTTCGAGTTTATGGTATGTGTTTCTCTGCCTGTTTCCGGTTTTCCTCCTCGGCTCCAGCACTCGGCACACCTCCAAGCCCTCCAGCGTTTGTCACCCACGGGAATTCACGACCACGGACACCTTCACCGGGAGACCCTTCACGAGAGCACCCCCCAACGAGCACCGGACCCCTGCGCACCACCCCGGTTTCCCTCGGCACGGCTCCCTATCTGCACCGGGAAAAACCCCCACGGACCAAGGCACTCTCAGGCACCGGCTCTTCGTGCACCACCCTCGGGACCCCCCTTCCTCGGATCACGACACCGAAGACTCCAGTCCTCCCTCTCCACGACTGGCATCCCTGCACCAGATCCCACCACCGGGTTATTCCCCACGACCGGCACCCCTTCACCGGACTTTGTTTCTGCCTCCTGGTGCCCATCACTCCACCACCTTCCCTAATAAATCCT